TATCTCCACTGGCTGCCTGGACTGTCCCATAAATCTGGGGAGTGATTAAATTGCACTCACTTCCTCCTCTTTGTTAGACTAGATAAACATCTTCAGAGAAATAATTCACTTTGCTAATTGAGAGTAGTCATCTGAGATATTCGGAGCTGCCGGCTGGTGAATGTGCTTGACTGAGATTTGGATATCTGGGTTCTCTCTGCCTTCATTTTGCAAGTTTGCAGCAGTGACATGAATTAGTAATGCCTAAGAAAGTTCAAAAGGGATTCCTTTTGTGAGAGCTTCTCCTCTCCCACTGTATCTGGGCTTGCATCTTTCTCACACTACCACCCTCTCACCCTCCTCGCCACACCCCTGCTCTGAGTCTCTATGCCGTGTTCTCTGCCGCCATCACCATTATCCTCTTCATTCATCTCAGATGCAACTGCTCTGTCCCTTTCCTACCCTCTTCCCCCACCCTGAAGTGACCTTGACACCACGATGGGGCCAGAGTCTGGTTCTAGTCATGTGGCCCGTGTTTCAGCCACTGTAAGTTGTCATCACCATCAGAGTCTCCACTCCCGTTGCCAGTTACATAAGAGGCCACATAACTTCTGCTCCTAGCACAAGCTTTTATTAAACAGAGACAGCCCGCGAGGCCAAGTGGGCAAGAGGTCCATCCCGGAACCACGTCCCCTGGGAGGGTGAGTGGCCGACTCCAGGTCTTGGTTCCTGGAGCCAAGGAGCTCAGCTCGCTGCCTGTGTTTGCAGCCTTAAATACATACTCAAGGACGACATGTTATGTTTTCAGCCTGAAGGGGCAAACGAGGAGCAGCCCTTTCAAAATAAGAATTCCCCTGCTGTTTGTTTCATTTTGGAACACAATGAGAACAGACTGAGGACACGGCTGAGCTGTCAACGCTTCCTACCCTGCTTCCACAGCACCTTTCCTTTGCCAGAAAGAGAGTTGCTTAAGTTAAACAAGGGCCTAATGAATAGTCAAAATAATTGTTTAGCTTGGATATAAGGCCTTAGGTAAATAGATGATTGCCTGAGGCTGAGGCCAGTAAAAGCAGTCCAGCAGGACGCCACTTGTTCTGTTCTTCGGACACCAGCCAGTGGCCTCTGCTCCTCCGGGGGCTGTTGTTACTGAATTATTTCTCTCTTCCCACAAGCATATTGAAGCAATTTAGCATCCAAAGGGTTTCATGAAAGCAAGGAGAAGGAGCAAGATCTTTCTATATTATAAATATATACTTAAAACTGTAATTTTACCATATTAGAGTTTCAATGAAATGAAATGCTCAAGATATGGAATGTTTGGTGTGTTGGAAAATGTCTAAAATGCATTCATTGTTAGCCCACTTAAAATTGTCCTGCCTCCTGCTTTACTAGTTTTTAACTATAATTTAATCCTTTTCTAAAACAGCTATTTACTACATCTACAGGCCGTTATTAGATTTATGAGTAATTCTCTTCAAGACTGGAATTGTAGTTATAGACAGTATAAGCACTGAAAGGAAACTTTCAGGTTTGGGTTTTGTAGTAGTTGTTGCCGTTTATTTGTTTTGTTTGTTTGTTTAGGTATATTTGCTATCAAGTTACTGCATTGTTATTTGTCTTTTTTTCCAAAAGTGAGGTTGCATCATGAAAATTCTACTTAATTAAGAGCTTGAGTAAATTAGTTGCCAGGTAATTTCAGTGTTGCTGAATAATTGCTTCCCATTTCTTATTTGAAAATAACAGATGCTTTGTTGATCCAGAGCAGGATCTGGTTGTCTGATTCTATAGCCCATATCCCTGGACTACTATTCGAATAAACAACATCCATCTGATCAACTCTCATATTCATCAAGGAAGTAAATTGCCCTGGTATTCAGTTTCCAGGATTCATGATGAATATATAGTTGGTTTATTGGCAAAGAGTAATCAAAGGCTATATTTGGGTAATAAAAAGATAATGCTTAATTGGTTATATAATTTTTTTATCGTGATAATCTGGAAAAATGGGTAAGAAGATGGAGTTTGGAGCCAATTCTGAGTTTGAGCTCAAGCTCCATACTTATTCGTTCTATGATCTCAGACAAATCATCAAATGTCCATTGTCTTTAGTTTCCTCACCTGTACAATAGTCTAATAATCATACCTACTTCATTGGGTTGTTGGGTAGATGATATGAGAAAACATATGTAAAATACTGAGCACAGTGTAAGTATTCAGTACTTGTTAACTATCATCTTATTTTCATGTACCTTGTAATTTCCTCACAACAACCCCTTGGAACAGGCAAAACTGCTATAATTATTCTAATTTGAATATTAGAAAACTGGACCTCAAAATGGTTCTTAATTTTCCCTCGGTCACTCAATATGGTGAAATGCTGATCCTCTCAGTAACAGGAGTTCCCTGCTTCCTAGCATGTCACTCTCTTTTTATCAATTCTGCCTCATGGTTCTGTCGCCTGTCAGTTTCTCTACAGTCTTACATGGTAATGGCCCTCCTCTGCTTTATACTCTCAGATGGACAAATGGAATAACTTCTGGCAGAGGCCTTAAAATGTACCTTAATATTATACAGAAGTTTTCTGGGAACATAGTGCTCTCAAGACAGCAAAACCAGGAGAACTCTTTGGTAATAGTGAGAAAAAATACTAGTAGAGAAATGGTTTCCAGTTGGTGAGCCTGAAACGCCTAGGAGAAGCCCAAAAGGTCAGCAAATCCATAAGCCAGGCAGGCTTTGTAAACCAAATTAACATGGTCCCAGCTATGCAGTTTTTCAAGTATATGTCTAGCTCACTGTCATTCATAAAATATAAATTCATTTACAAGCAGTGATGAATTTGTTATATCATTTTTTTAAAAATTTATTGATTTTAGAGAAGAAGAGACAGGGAGAGAAAGACAAAATATCAATTATGAGAGAGAATCATTGATCAGCTGCCTCCTGCACACCCCTCACAGGGGGTGGAGCCTTGCAACCCAGGCATAGCCTGGTTCATAGGTCGATGCTCAACCACTGAGCCACACCGGCTGGGATGTTAAATAATTTTAACATGCTATACTATTGGCTATTAAAAATACAGCTTCTAGCATAAGCAGTCTGTGATTTTTGTTTTCATTTTAAAAACCAGCTGTGCCCACTCTAAAAGGTTAGAAACCAATGGTATTGAGGAGAGAGAGCTCTGCCTATGAAGTTTAACAACCTAGATTTAAGGACTAGCTCAACTAATTATAAGTTTAAAGCACTATAAACTCAGGCAGTCAATTAAAGTCAATAGACATCTACTGAGTGCCTTTAAGGGACCTGAGCCTTGAGCTGGGGTTAGGAGAGTGAGTAACAGTCCTTCACTTTCTTCTCTGAACCTCAATTTTTCTCACTTATAAAGTAAGTAGAATAATAGTGACTCTCTTCACAAAGCTAATGTGAGGGTCTAATGAGATCAAACCAGAAAAAGTATATACTGGGAGGTTTGTGAATATGCTTTGTAAACTCTTTAGAGATTTATAAACTGAGGGGACTCAAGACAACTGCTGAGAAGTAAACCCTTCAACTCTATTGACCATCCACCCCCATGAACTTATCAAGTGTTGACAGCATTCCCTAATTTGATATCACCTTATATTTATATTTCAAATATTCTTTTCCATATCTTCCCTTCTCCTCCCTCTTCACTATACTCCATAAATTGTAATATTCTTTAATAGCAATATGTCACTACAGTATCAGATTAGCACTAAATAAGGCACCAATATAGAATTCAAAGTAGGGAGTAGCCCAAAGGCTCAGAGCTTGCAGTTTATAAGCCCAGGTGCACACAAGGCCCATCTGTGAGGGTTATTTTAAACATTGTCAATTGCATGAGTTATGGCCAGTGAGGATCTCACCCAGTTACTAGTTAACCCCAAGAGTTAGAAAGACTTGTTCCTCCTCTTCACTCGTAGGCTGAGGCCACAGTATCACCTCATGTCAGGAAAAGAGTGGGTCATGGGAGAGGACCCATTACTCATGGAAGAAAACTTTCCTGGTTCCAATGGTCAGCAATATATTACGTCTAATGTACTTAAACCTCTCTTCTGATTTCATGTTGTATGTACTAATTGGGAATTTGGTCTTTCTATTTATTTTTATCACCTAGAATCTGCTAAGTACTAGACAATACACAAAGAACTATGGAGAAATGCAGAACATGTAATATGAGTAATCCCTATTTGCAGGACTGTATAAGGAAGTCAATGCAGCATTTATTGGGAGGCAGCAAGTGTTATTTTATATTCTCCAACCAATGATACCTTGAAGTGAGGCAATGGAGGCTCAGAGCCTACTTAATCCAAGGTCTACATTATTCTAAAATTCTGGCTCCCTCCACTCTACCTCAGTACCTCCCTTCGTCTGGAAAGCAGGACACACCGAAAAAGAAAGTGAACACAGACATTAAAAGAAACCTACAAATAAGTTGTAGAAACTCTACAGACTATCATATGTCCAAGGGAGGCTGTGTCTGAAGTGCCTGGAGCTAGGCTAGCCTTCCTCTGAGCAGATTCTGAAACAGATCAATGATACAACCTGGGGAACCAGGAAAGTGGACGCCAGTCAGAAAACAGTTGTGCTAGGTCCGAGAGGAATGACACTGGGTGATCAAATGTCTAATAAGAATAAAAGCTCTAATCCCAGCACACCATTTGTCCTTCCAAATTAGGATGCTTCATCTTAATGACCCTTGGAAGGATAAAAAGGCTATGAAAACTTTGTAAATTACTATAATTTTCACAGTCCCATCTTCCAGGCAAATTATAAAAGAGAACGCTGCTTCATTTCTTAGTTTTGCCAAGTTCCTTAGGCTCAGCATTCATTAAATATCCCGTCGTTCATGGCACTCTCTGAAGCAAGATGAATGGAAATCATGTTTCTCCTGATATTGGTATTGGTTCCAGTGACATAAGTGGGTAAGAGGATTTACAGAGGAAAAGTGAATAAATACACTGGGCAACGTTTTCAAACAGTTGTTTGTCCCTTCTGTTTTCTAGGAGATGTACGACTAAGGGGTCAGACGGGGGTTCCTGCTGAACGCCGCGGCTCCTACCCATTCATTGACTTCCGCCTACTTAACAGTGAGTAATCAAGTGTACCTGGAAAGGAACAAATGTTTTCTTTTTTGAAAAAAAACCTAACTTCCCTCTGAACTTCAAAACCCTCTGAGGTCTGCCTTCCTTCCTCCATCTCTCCCCTCCCAAGTGGAACTTAACCCTTTGTCTTTAGATTTCCTCACTAGTGAAGTAATTCTGGCCCTGCCTTCTCAGAGATTTGGGGGAGGGGGTGTCAAATGAGATAATGTCAGTTTTAAAATATATATATAAGTCTTAAAAGTGAAGCCCTACACAAAGAAACTATTGTTGTCATTATCCAGCATATTCTCTCTACCTTCAGCTATTAAACTAGATAAAATTCTATAATTTTATAATTTATCTAAATTATATAAATTTATCTAAATTACATAAAGTCTATAATTTATATAAAAATATACATAAAATAAGGAAACCTATTCTAAAGCTGCCCTTAGTAATCTACCCAATATTGATTCTCCCTTCTTTGTCTAATCTAAATCCCTATGGTTCGTTCTTGGGTTCCTGGCAAAAACCCTTCACCACAGTGAGGTAGGTCCTTTTCGTCTGCATTTGCTGCTTCCTCCATTATGACTACCTCGAAAGTTCACTTATTTCTACCTTTCCCCTTCATATATCGGTCCTCATTTGGAGTTTTGCTCCACCTCTGGTTCATAATTCTCTTAATCTCAAATTCCTTTGGCAATCCAAACCAGTGACTAGTCACCCCTCCAGATTGCCTATCTCCTAACGATCATAATCCTTCTTCACTTTGGACTTGGAGGTGGGGGTAGAAAGTAGATAAATCTCACAGTTTGCTCCAAGGTTTTCAGTGTTTGGTTCTCATATCACTTCCAATCTATAAATTTCAAAGTGCTGGGTTGTACCCACAGAGTTTTACTTTCCTTTGGCATAAACAAGTTCAGCTAAAGAGGTAATTTGATTTACCTCGACCCTTGGAAATTACTAGGAGAAATTAGAACTGGCTCTTTCTGATCCTTAGATCCTCAAAAGGCCAACAGGAGATAGATTTGTTTGTATTTCTGGCTTGTTAACCTCCCATATCAATGTGCAATATCTGTTTTCTCAGTGTTTCAGGGACACAGAGACTTGGAGTAATTCTTTCTATACTAGAGACACTGTTGTCTATCCATCCTGAAATCCTCTTTCTACTCTGCTCAGCACTCCACTCTGAAGAACTCTTTCACTGTCTTTCCCAGGAACACATGCAAAGGAATATTCATTAGCCTTTATTGTATTGTGCTTTATAAATGGTCTCCATTTTTACTCCCTCCGTGTATAAAACACATCCCTAATCTATTTCAATCTAATTCAAGATCTTAAAGGATTTTCTCTGTATAGTTACTGAGCTCCCAATATCTATTGTTAACTTACCAAATAGATTAAAGGGTCCCCTCAGAAGAATTATAGTAAATGATTATAAATGTCATTAGCTCCTTACATTTAGCTGAACAGCTCAGATAGTACTGAAGCCCTCTGAGATTCTTCCTTTCTGTGGCATTATCCATTTCGTTGTCTAATGCCCTGAATACCTTGTTAGGGAGACTAGAACCAGTCACATTACTGTGGTCACTCTCCACAATTTCCTCACTTAGCCTTCAATTAAACAGCTTGTTAGTAGGTAACAGAAGGTATATGGATATCTGTGTTATGTACAGTCACATAGTGAGATATGATATAGGTCATATCTCCTGCTTCTTCATGTGCACTCTATGTAATTCTTAGTCATGTTTTTGTTGCAGTTTGTCTGAGTTGTTAGTGTGCTTTCTGCCTAAAGGGAAACATTTTAAACATAACTTTATAAAGATTTTAGAATAAATGCCTAAGGAACATTTTCTCCTAAAACTTTCCTTTTACTAACAAAACAGGAATCCAATTCTACACAGAAAGTACCCCACTAGTTTAAAGTGAGTTTTTAAATATCATTTTCCATAATTTTGAGTCGTTTTTTCCCCAAGTATAGGCAGAGATCCAAGACTTCATTTTCTTCGGGTGCTTTCAGTTTTGCTAGCACTTGTTGGGCTTATTTTTTAAACCATTTGTAAGAAAATCTGAATCACCATGGCCTCTATTCCCTGTCTCTTGCATCCCTGAATCCTTCTAATATGCTTCGTGAAACCCACATGGCTGATATTCCCTGTCCAGAATGTTCCTGGGTGTTTGCTCTCCGTCATCCACCTCAATATATACCTTGAATGGTTGGAACATGCACAACAAAAATGTACGTTGAATAGTAAGGCCCATTGAACATTTCCATTGGTCCCTATAGCCATGGCCCCTACTTGTCACAGCAGATCAAGAAATGTCAGAATTAATATCGAAAATAACTTTCCTTCTATCAGAACAAAGTTTTTAAGTATTAGATCAGGGATGGGCAAACAGCAGCTGAGGCACCAAATCTGTGCCCCCACCCCTGCCTGTTATGTAAATGAGATTTCTCATTGCAGTGTTATTTACAATAGCCAAGATTTGGAAGCAGCCCAAGTACCCATCAGTAGATGAGTAGATAAAAAAAGCTGTGGTACATTCACACAATGGACTACTACTCAGCCATAAAAAAGAAGGAAATCTGCCCTGGCCAGTTTGACTCAGTGGATAGAGTGTCGGCCTGTGGACTGAAGGGTCCCGGGTTCGATTCCAGTCAAGGGCAAATGCCCAGGTTGCGGGCTTGATCTGCAATTGAGGGCGTGCAGGAGTCAGCCGATCAATGATTCTCATCATTGTTGTTTCTCTCTCTCTCTCTCCCTCTCCCTTCCTCTCTGAAATCAATAAAAAAATTTTTTTTTAAAAAGAAGGAAATCTTACTTTTGTGACAGCATGGATGGGCCCAGAGAGTATTAGACTAAATGAAATAAGTCAGTTAGAGAAAAACAAATACCGTATGATCTCACTCCTATGTAGAATCTAATGAACAAAATAAACTAACAAACAAAATATAAACAGACTCATAGATACAGACAACAGACTGGCAGCTCTCAGAGAGGAGGGGGTAAGGGGGCTGGGTGACAAAGGTGAAGAGATTAAGAAAGAAAAAAGCAGACACAGATAACAGTAAGGTGATTGCTAGAGGGACAGGGGGGAGGGGGAAGTAAAAGAAGGTAAAGGGGGGAATAAATGGTGATGGAAGCAGACCTGACTTGGGGTGGTGGATGCACAGTACAATATACAGATGATGTCTTATAGAGTTGTACACTTGAAACCTGTATAATTTTATTAACTAATGTCTCCCCAATAAATTCAATAAAAAAATTTTTAAATAACCTGGGGGAAAAAAAGATTCTATTGGAACACAGCCATGCCTATTTGTTTACATATTATCTGCAGCTTCTTTCACTCTATGATGGAAGAGTAGTTACAATAGAGACCATATGGCCCATAAAGCCAAAAATACTTACTATATGGCCTATACACAAAAGTTGCCAACCCCTAACTTATATTTTTAAACAGAATTCAAAAGATTTTATGACCTCTACATAGGCACATTCAGTCCAGTCTATTTTTCTTTGTTAATATCACTTTTTTCTTTTCAGTTCGAGTGCCATTACTTTACTTTTAAAAATGGACTCACATTGACTAAATTAAATGAGACAGAAGTATAAACAAAATGGTACCTCTTTTACTGATCCAGATTGTACATATATATTTTTTAATTGATTTCAGAGAGGAAGGGAGAGGTAGAGAGAGATAGAAACATCAATGATGAGAAGGAATCATTGATAGGCTGCCTCCTGCTTACCCCCAACTGGGGATCAAGCCCACAACCCAGGCATGTGCCCTGACAGGGAATTGAACCATGACTTCCTGGTTCATAAGTCGATGCTCAACCACTGAGCCATGCCAGCTGGTCCTGACCCAGATTTTAGAATCCACAATTATAATTTCTAATTTCACAATTTTTTTCTGGAAGAGGTATCCCTTTCCCCATATTTTTGAGGGCACAGCACTACAATGCCCATGTACTTATTGTCTACATAATAGGTGACAATATATACCTGGTTGCCTGGCATAGTTCTAGTTTGCACCTGTTGTCCAGGCATATTTATTAATAATGCCACCTTTCACTCCCAAAATAATCTGGCTTGAACAATTAATTACAAGGCCAATGGATAATGTAGTTTTTCCCCCAAAAGACTACTTGGAGACAACACCTCTCAAATGTCACCTGCATTCTAGAAATGAAGATGAGAAAATCTTCCTAATGATATCTATCCAGATCCATCCATTTGCCCATTAACATATATGTAAGGTAAAGTTACTTGTTAACAGCCAGTTGCATTTCCTGTTAATATTTCAAGCAATTTGTAAAGGGGGCATCTATATGAATTTTCAGAGGCTTCTCTGGATAAGTAGCAGGAAACATTGCCTTCAGCACCATTGTGTGGAACACAGGAATGATAAGCCTTTAAAGAGGACAGTTATTGCTACACCTGAGTATGGACGGGCAGAGAAGAGGGAGAGAAGGAGTAACAATTATTTGTATTCCACATGAGAGAACTGGAGAAGGACAGGAGGAACAGAAATATAATGGCTCTGTTATACCAATATCAACTTCCTATAGACTTATTTCATTCACTAACTCTGTTGAGGGGGGAAGAGCAACAAGAGAGGAGAACATGTAGAGAAGAGTGTTCAGAGAGGCATGGGGCCACAGAGGTGAATGTGGCAAAAGCAATCACAATTCTCTGCAGAACAGGTGGCTACAGCACGGCCCCTTCATCTTTCTCTCCTGGTTTAATATAATCAGTAGCCTGAGTAGATAATGACTAGGTGGAGATGTTCCCGTGGCAACCATTTCAGACCAACAATGCGATTTCCACACTTGCTCAGCATAGGAAGGGATGCACAAAGCCGATATTCCCAGTGACTGTGAACCCTGAGGGAAAGAGGCCGCTTCCACTGGAGGTGTCAGGGCATCCATATCAGCTGCCACAGAGAGCCTGGGGTCCAGCCCAGCCCTGGGCTCTGCTGTAGTGGGTTAATTGGATATT